AATTTACTAGGCATAGTAAAGTTAAAGAATGGGTTATTGAAGGCCAGCGTATAGAGCAATTCAAAACATTTAAATACTTGGGAATTGTCTCCTCATGTACCCTCTCCTGGTCTCACCAGAGACAAGCAGCACTGCAGGTGGCTAAGAATACCAGCAAAGTTCTTAGATGATACCACTATGTCCAGGGTGGGCAGTTCATCCCTGCTGCTCTGCAGATAGTTAAGTATAAAATTCTTGCACAGCTCCTGTATGGTATTGCGATTTGGATAAGTGGTTTCAATCCCTCAGTTGAAAGTGTCCTGTCAAATTTGCTGCAACTCCTATTCACTATGCCAGGATGCATCTCTTCAGCTGCCTTGTGTTTAGAGGCTGGCCTCCAGTCAGTGGAATGTCAAGCTTAGTTGTATGCATTCCAATTCTGGTTGAAGGTGGTATATGGTCCCACAACCAGTGGGTATTTACACTATCTACAAAAATATGTGTATCAGCTCATGGCATAAGAGATTTATAGACAAATTACATTTTTTAGGCTTCCCTATGGACTTCTTTCTGAGTCAGCCTTATGACAGTATCAAGTCAATGCTTGTACAACGCATTAAAGTTATAGACCTCCAGTATCCACTAGCATGTGCAGACAGGACCAATGTACTTTGGTTTAAATTTTAACTTTCCCAAGTCTGCAAATTACTTATACCAAATCACAGTACCAGTATTGTTTTGTCTTCTCAAGGGCTAGGTTTAATTGCTTTCCCTCAGCCTTGTTAAAAGGGCATTTTAATAACATTCCCTATGGAGAAAGGATATGCCCCTGTGAGGAAGAAACAGTTGAGTCCCTGACACACACCATTCTAGAATGCAGCTTATATACGTTTGAAGGCATCCACTATCTCTACTCAATAATGTGTAAATGTACTAGTATATCTGCCACAGACTACCTGAAGTTTCTGCTGTCAGGAGAGAACCAATTAATAACACAGTTGATGGCTTAAGTTTTTATTTTCAGTTTTAAGAATTCATAAAATGTCATATTAAGACAACCACCTGACTCTAGTTTTATACTGTTGATATGTTCTAACAACTTATTTATTCTGTATATCTTGTATTATGTTTTTATCTTTGAATTTTTGGGTCTATGACCATATAATAAAAATTAACTAACAAAGAACAATATCTACAAAGTAGTAAAAATGATGGTTCATGTATCCATCTGAGATACATTCATTGTGTGCTTTAAGTGAGTAAGTCCACAAAGGTGGCTCTCCCCTGTTCCTATTGCATAGAAAATGAATAATGAACATGGTTACAGTAGCTGGATTGAGTTTTTGAAATCAAGTTAAAATCACATGGTAGCTACGTGGTATTAGGATTGGTGTGTGTACATTAACTTGGAAAAACATTTAATCCTTTTAAAAGCTGTGTTGTGTATCAGTTGAGGGGGCTACATGGGCTTTAAAAATTGCGGCAATTGAGGCTTTGTCCTGTGACTGCCAGGCCTTGCAGTGGGCACTTGCCCCTGCTGCTATGGTGAGGGAGAGTTGTTCCCATTGGTACCCGCAGAATACACCACAGAAATGAACAGTGCTTGACTCTGCAGTGGTGAAAAAAACACTGATCCAAACATGGTTCCTTCCTGAATCCACATGATTTTGACATGGGATCATCCCCAAGCCACTCTGAGCAGAGATGGTTTCTATGATTGAGATTGTTTGGGGGGATGATCCTACAAAAAATCATGCGGATCCATGAGGATCTATGCCTCTGATCCATTTTTGCTCAAAGACTACTTCCCACTCCTCCAACCCTGCACCGGACTAGCTGCACCCTCCCCTTCCCCTCAGGCTCCCTGCACCTGTCTGTCCACCCGGCCCTGTGGGTCTTGTAGCTGCCGCCGCCTCTCCCACCACCTCTGCTGGTTATCCAAAGGCACAATTTGCAATGACAGAAATGTTTAGATATGTGGAGATGATATAAAGAAATCAGGGTGTCAAACGTACGCTAAAACAAACTACTCTCTGATGTACTTTATGACACTTTGGAGCACCACACCCTGGAGTTGGACACAACTGGACTAAATGTCAAGGGGAACCTTTACCTTTACCTGGCAGAGTTATCCATGTTACTCTCCATATTATGGAGACACCTTATTTTAAACTGCCTTTAAAAAAAAAAGCAGAATGCGATACAACAGCATTTCTTATTGTTAGTAGGATCAAGCCTTAAGGCAGCATAAAACCTGAAAAACTGCAAAGATTTTCAACTCCTAGGGGCTGTCAATAAGTCTTGGCAAAGCTGAGTTGGGGGGGTGAAGGCACAGGAAAATCTTAATTCAGGCCTGGGTGGTAGCAGACCCCATATAAACAAACCACCTACTTCTTCAAACAAACAGCCTTTTTTTCCCCTCGAAGTCCAACAGTATTAAACTCCATGGCTCACTCTAGATTTGCAAGTATAGCATCCTTCCAGGCCTCGGCATTCTGATAAATTCTTGCTCCACACTCCTCCTTTCCAAAAGCCATTTAACAAGCAAACTAACCTGGCTTATCAGGCAGCTTCCAATGATTAAGCAGCTGAATAACTAAAATGCTGCTGCCAAATCTTTCAAGGCTTTATTTATTTATTCTATTTGTACCCTGCCTATCTGGTCAAAACAACCACTCTAGGCTTTGAAACTTCCTGCTTTTCTCTCACTTTCCCTGGCTCATTAAGTCACTTTGCAGTCTCAACAGATAAAAGTTTTAAAATCCAAATTCTTCTTTTAGTAAAACAATAAAAGCAATAAAAGCTGCTTTATTTTTTTAAAAAAAAAAGTTCCAAAAGATAAAATATTTAAAGAGGGAGTGGAACTTAGCACAAATGCTTTTCCCTCCCTGGAACCAGAATGCCCCACACCTCAAATCAGAACGTGCCACTCAGAATTCTCAACAGGCCCCTGGGGGTTCCCGGCACACTTGAAGGGGGCCACAGACTGGAAGCTATTCTTCACACACCACCTTACAAGGTTCATTATACAATCCTGATTCGGCCTATATTTCTTTCACCTTGTGTTAATGGCTATGCCCCAAAGGCTATCATAACTGACTCTGAATGTTATAGCATGCAGCAGCAGGGATGGCAGTGTTTTTTTTTTTTTGTTGTTTTTTTTTTAAGTTTCAGTGTACTGGGAGTGCAATGCGGTTGTGGTGACTCAGTGATGTGGAGGAAGCACTTTACTTTCCACTGCAGATGGCAGGCAAGGTTGGGCCCCTGCCGCCTTTAGTGTTTATCTCCTGTCTGTGCTTGGAGGGCAACTGCTGTGCTATTTAAATTTGAGACCTGGGGCAAAGTCCTGATTGACGTACCATAACCACAATCATGCATACTTCAAAACAGTACTACCTGCTTCTCCTTATTTGCAAATATTAAATGCTGAACAGTCCCTCTCTAAAATTTAGTCCTTTTTTTTGAACATGGTATTTTCCCTGCCTAGTTCAAGGAATTGAACCGAAGTTCTCGAATGAGAATTTTCCATTTTAAACTTGGAGGTTTGAAGACAAAAAAGGCCCCCAAACCTACCTGCATGGGGAAGTAAAACCTTTAGCAATGACAAAACCGAGCAACCAGTATCAAGTGCTTCTCTTGATAGTTTCCTAAAAAGAAACCTCAGATGTGCTCAGAGATGACACTATGAGACAGTTTGAGGTATCATGCATTTTGATTTTTTTATTATTTTAGTCATTCTATTTTTTGCCTCATTATGATAACCATCCCAAGTAGTGTTCTCACTAAGTCGGGCAGGCTATACTCGATAAATAAATAATAAAATAAAATAACGCACTGTTGTTCTGATAAGGAATTCTGGGAACAAATTGGCAGCCTCCAATGTCAAGGAGAAGCTGCCTTTTTTTAACTCTTATGCTTGAAGCCTCAGTAATGTGATGTTGTTGTACAGCATCAATCTGGAACTCTGTCTTGTTTTTTAAAGTGGAGGAACATCGATCAAGCTACCAGATGGAACAGCGATGCTACTAAGTGAGTTTCCCCCTCATTCCAATGCCTGAAAAGCCCTTCCATTTTCTTCCCCTCAAGTGGAGCAAATGGGAAAAAAGGAGGGGACCTTGGAATCATCATAGCTCACAAGATATTCAAGCTTGTGCCAACAGTGTGATGTGGCTACCAAAAATACAAAAGCTGTTTTAGGCTGCATTAACAGATGTACACTCTCCAAATACTAGTTCCCCTCTATTCAGCACTGGTTAGATGTTATCTTGAGTTCTGGACACCGCACTCCCAAAAGGATGCTGAGAAATTGGAACAAGTGCAGAGGAGGGCAACAAGGATGGTGAGGGGCTGGAAACCAATTTTTTGAGAAAAGACTAAAAGAACTGGGCATGTTTAGCCTTGAGAAACGCAGACTGAGGAGAGATATGATAGCACTTTGAAAAGCTGTCATACAGAGCAGGGGCAGGACCGGATCTTGATCATCCCAGAGTGAAAGACACACAACAATGGGCTCAAGTTACAGTAAGCCAGTTTTCAGTTGAAGATCAAGAAAAACTTACTAATTGTTAGAAAAGTATGGCAATGGAATTAATTACCTCAAGAGGTAGTGAGTGCTCCAAAACTGGAGGCATTCAAGATAAATTTAGACAACCACCTGTCAGATATCCTTTGATTTCTATTCCTGTGCTGAGCAGGAGCTTGGACTCAATGGCCCCTTCATTATTCTATGATTCTATGATATTGGGACAGCACTGAAGTAGACTCCCTCTCATTTTGATCAGCAGAGAGAAGGATACCATTTGGAAAGTCTGCCATAGAAATCACAATGTGTTGACTGAGCTAGTCCTACTTTGGCACCTGGGAAAAGAAGGGAGGCACCGGCAGAACTAGGAGTGTCGTGGGTCCTAGATTGTCAAACACTATGTGATATTATAATTCTAGGGAAAAGGAGTCATCATTCATGACAATGCTTTCTACTAGGATATGTTAATTTTAATTTTGATGGTGGGAGTAGGACTTACCTGACAACTTTAGTGCCATTTCGGAATGCCTGTATGTCTACAGCGTAATTGCCATCAGCGTGAGATATCAAATTGATCTCTGAAAATTGTGCCTATTGAAAAAGAGAAAAGAAAAGAAACCAAGTAAATAAACCTGTCAGGTAAGATTCTTAAGTGGTTGTCTCTCTTTTGTTTGTGCCTCTGGCTCTAACTTTAACATCTTCAGGCAGGCCAGTGTTGAACAGAGTAAAAGCTCCTCTGTCATTGCAGCGTGTGCCAGAGGAAGCTGTTGAAAGAGATTTTTATGCAATGCATGGATTATCAGTCCTATTTGGAAGTCAAGTGCCTTTAGAAATTTTGAAGCTCATCTACAAGCTGACCGGCCTTTCAGTTGGTATAAGTGACCAACTGCTCTTGAAGGATAGAGCAGTAGGGTCTAAATACTAAGGAGCATTCCACCCCCCCATCATGTATACATCTGAGATAAAATACTGAATGTTTGGGATTTCTTTTTAAAAAGATTCTGTGTATACATTTGAAAGCACATCTTTGTGTTTTAATTAATGCTTTAATATTGTGTTTTAATAAAGTTTTGTATTTATGCTGTTTTATGATACGACTCACATTTTAACTATTCTAAAATAGTTAACATAGTGTTTGCATTAGAAAATTGGTATAGAACTCTAACAAATAAATAACTAGCAAATCCTTTGCCTGACACCGAGGATGAAAAATGCCAACCACGCTGCAAGGGATGGTGCTCAAGATATCATAGGCATCCTTCAGTCTAGAGAGACTACGGTAACATGCTCTGAATCGAGGAGTGTCCTCTCCAGAAGCCCGGGTAAAGTAATATTGAGGATATCAAAATTGACAGTAAATTCCTTAGTTAATACCTGTTCTACTTTGATCTCATATTCGCCATGGACCTTTTTCCCACGAAAAGATTTGGTCCTAAAAAAGAGGAAAGAATGCATTTTAAACATGCCACCAATAAATGAATTATCCTTTAGCAAGCACTGCAAAACCTTTTTAACATTATTCAACTTAATGGATACATTTTTTACATTTCATTTAAACTTGCCTAATGCACAGACTTTTAACAAAAAGAAAGCCATGGATATTTTATGTCTATACAGCAAAAGCATGCTATTTGAAAATAATGTGGATCTATCTTGGATATTGAATATAAGGGCCGTATCATAATCATGGTGAAATAATCTTCCTTGGAGTCACCTTTTCTTTGTAAATATCCTCTCGATGAGGCAATTATATCTGATCTCTAGCAAGATCCAAGTTTCAACAAATGACTTCAGTTTTGAAAATAAACACTAATACTGAACATTACATTATGCCATCTGGAGTCAAGCAAAATGTTAAACAAAATGAGACCACAAATACTTCCAGTGACTTAATTCCCCAAAAGGATTAAACATTGAAGTAGAAAAGCATTAAAAGCTTCCTGAATGTTTTAGGCTTAAAAGATCATTCATGGCTTTAAAAAAAACAAAAAAATAACCAAACCTCAAACATAACATCATAAAGCATGTTCTTAGTTTCCCAGATTCAGAGGACTAAACTCTGACTAACTTTTGAAGTGCTTATTTACTGAAAAATTGGGCCTGTTCCAAAGTAAAGTGGCGCCTTCAATGCTAAATTTTTTTTTTAAATCAAAAAACCATCAAGCCATATTATTCCCAGCATATGAACTTGAGAAATTTGCGGCAACGTTTAATTCTATCCATTTAATGTATAAATTACTTTCTTGTTTGAAGAAGTAAAGTATCAAACATAGGAGGTCTCTTAGAAAGTCTCGTTAGATGAGGACTGTGATTCCCTGCTTCATTTACAGCTACTATATAAGTGAAAATCAACAGTGACCAAGGCAGCAGTTCTGTGTCAGTTTTGTTAACCAAACAAAGTGTTCCTGAGGGAAGTAAAAATAGTTTTATGGTGTCTTGGAAAGAAAGCTACGGCTACTTCTTTTCTTTTTATGTGGAATTCACTTGCTCATTGGAATCTGTGCTATATTAATTAGTACTGAGGAAAAGATCCTTTCCCAGCCACTAGGTAATACTTTTAATTTGGCGGCAGGTGGCTTTGCTAGTGTGTAAATTAAATTTTATCCTGAAATATCTGATATGAGGTTTGCTACATTTCTGTTTGGTTCTGTTCTCAACCAAAAAAGGAGCCGTGTTTTTTCTATACATGGCTATGGAGGTAGGTTGGGGTTGCTGAGTGATTGTCAAGACTTTGTCTAGTAAACTGGGAGGCACATTTGAATCTTTACCACCAGATGAGAAATCGGAAGGTACATCGCTGACCCGCGACTGCAACACCCAATTTTGAAACTGACTTTAAGCACTGAAGCCTCAGCGACATATCTGGCTGTGATTTTAGAAATGCTTCATTTCTTCTGCACCACCTCCAGGATTGTGGTGCCCAGTCTGAGGAAGACCCTTAGGGGTCTTATGTCTATGTTGTTGTTTTCTTAGCACTCTAATAAAAGTTATCACCCACTCTTGCCTTTGGACCATTTTACAAAGGAATGCTCTGACTGAAAGATACTGTTCGCTTTGAGACTGAATGGCAAAGAAATGGTCAGCAAAGAAATGGTTGCTGATATTTGGTTGTATTCATTATTTATTTCTTTAAAGTATCTGTACCTTGCCTTTCTCCTCAAGGGGATCCATGGCAGCTTACAATATGAAAAACCAACAATACAAAAAATGGAAGGGGCATTTAAATTGTTAGCAGCAATCACCAGGGGCACCTGACCTGTAGTACCACCCCAATTTCAGCTTTCCACTGTGGAAAGGTATGTAGAGTGGTAGCACTTACTTTTAAAACTTGACAGTAGCACTGAGTTTTTTCAAGTAACATATCCAAAAATTCCTCCTTCCTCTTTGCATCTGTGGTCAGGTCGCTAGGTCATTATTATTTTGTTCCCTGAGATTCAAGGAAACCAGGCCAAAACCTGAGACTCTGTGATGTGACAAGAGCTAGGTAGGCAATCGCTGGGAAGGACCCTAGAGCTGGTCTTGGGTCAGCTGACTGGGGCATGAGGGGCACTGCAGAAAATAGACCCCAATTTTGTGTAATACCTGCTAACCAGTGAATAGAAGAACTCAGAATAAAGAGAGGGGAAAGGCACGTTTTTCTGCAGCTGATCAAGTGGCAAAGTACTCCCAGCAGCTGTTATGATTCCTGCACCATTGTTTCTATGCTCACATCTCATGCAGCCTTACCTACAGTATATGCTACAAGTGGGTTTTTACCCCGGCCCTATACAGATGTTGGGGCCTGTGGGTAGTTGATCACTAGCCTTTACCTCTAGGTTTTCCCCCCAAGCCATGTGCCATGACTGAGAGGGCTTTGTGCAACAAGTACGTGAGAAAATGCAGTTGATGCTTCACCCCCTGCTTTGTGCTAAATGGCCCAATGACCCCTAGCATGTGCATCTACTGGATCTCTCTGTTCCCCTCCCCTCTTTGCTTTTTGGTGTGATGACACCACACACATGCAAAGCACAAAGAAATTTAGGCTGAGATGGAAGCCTGTGCAACTATCACCATCCATCCTGCCACACCAATTGGGAATGGATCGAGATATCTGTACAGGCTTCAGAAAAAAAATCCTACTTCTTCTTTCCCCGGTGCTGCAAATCCTAGGATTTGCTTGTCTGATGAACAAGAAATTCCCCGAGACTCTAGATGGCATCCTGAGACCAGGCAACCCTACTTGTGACAGCGACTCTGATTTCATGGGGACAGTAAATCCAAACTAGAACTTAGTCCTGACTTTAAAGCAGCATTGCAATGTGATGTACTCAGTTTGATGACAGAGTTCAATATCTTGGATAATTCCTATATGAAGGTAAAAGATAAAGCTTCCCCTTGACATTTAGTCCAGTTTGATCTGGCTCTAGTGTGCGGTGCTCATCCCCATTTCCAAGCCATAGAGCCAGCATTTGTCCGAAGACAGTGTCCGTGGTCACGTGGCCAGTGTAACTAGACATGGAATGCAGTTACCTTCCAACCGTGGTAGTACCTATTTATCTACTCACAGGTGCTACCACTGCTAGGTGAACTGCTAGGTTGGCAGGAGCTGAAACAATGAGGGACGCTCACTCCGTCACGTAGATTCGATCTTACGACTACTGGTCTTCCGACCTTGCAGCACAGAGGCTTCTGCGGTTTAACCCGCAGTGCCACAATGTCCCTAATTACTGTATAATCTAGACTAAAATCCAAAAGGGGTTCATTGCCTCTTTAACAGTGTAATCATGAGCTTCTTCTGCATCTCCTGCCCATCGTTCAATATCAATTTCACCATGCAGGTCCCTAGATGGAACTAGGCCATGTACTAATTGAAAAATGATTTATACACTGCAATGACTTCCACATGTAACAAAACAACGTATGAGCAATGATTCTGGAAGTATGGGGAGGGCATTTTATGGTAGCAGTTGTTAAGCAGTTAGGAGCTGGAAAAACTTGCCAGTCTATCTATAAGTCATCAGCTAGACTCACTGTACAAATTAGAGATGGGCATGAATCGGAAAAATGGTGATTCATTTTGATTAATGGTTCATCAAGGTTGATGAACCACGAATTACAAATCTACTTTTTTCTGTTGAATTGACAAATCAATTTGTTAATTTATTTTTGCCTTTAAAACCTTGTAAAATCTCAAGCATCTAGAGACACCAAAATTGCAGGGAAGCTTCCCTTTACTCTCCTCTACAATCACTCCAAGTTTTGTGAAGATTGGGTTTCAGACATCTAAGTTATATTTCCTGGGTCCTCCCAGGAAAGTGCCCTTTAGCAGGTGGCCTGAGGAAAACCATAGTGGAGAGTCAGGGGAATTCTCTCTGAAATATTGGTGTCTCTAGGTGCTGGGGTTGGGGCATTTTATAGCCCAACTTATCAATAAATCAAAAATCACTAAAAATTAGTTGATTTGTATTTGTTGAGGGACATTATTCTGACTCCCTTCATGGATTGCTGCCTTGTCGTGGCGAAGGGGCTTGAGTAACTCAGAGAAGCTGTGGGCTATGCCGTGCAGGGACACCCAAGACGGACACGTCATAATGGAGAGTTCTGACTAAATGTGATCCATCTTGAGCAGGAACTGGCAAGCCACTCCAGTATCTTTGCGAAGAAAATTCCATGGGCAGAAACAAAAGGCTAAAAGATATGATGCTGGAAGATGAGCCCCTCAGGTTGGAAGGCGTCCAACATGCTACTGAGGAAGAATGGAGGACAAGTACAAGTAGCTCCAGAGCTAGTGAAGTGGTTGGGCCAAAGCTGAAAGGACGCTCAGCTGCGGAAGAGCATGGAAGTGAAACGAAAGTCTGATGTTGCAAAGAAAAATACTGCATAGGAACCTGGAATGTAAGATCTATGAACCTTGGGAAGCTGGAGGTAGTCAAACAGGAGATGGCAAGAATAAACATTGACATCCTGGGCATCAGTGAACAAAAATGGAAGGGAATGGGCAAATTCAATTCAGATGATTATCATAACTACTATTTTGGCCAAGAATCCCGTAGAAGAATTGGAGTAGCCCTCATAGTCAACAAAATAGTGGGAAAAGCTGTACTGGGATACAATCTCAAAAATGAGAGAATGATTTCAACATCACAGTAATCCAGGTTTATGCACCAACCACGGATGCTGAAGAAGCTGAAATTGACCAATTTATGAAGACTTACAACACCTTTTAGAA